CATGAAATACTGTGCAACAGTACAGCAGCAATGTCAATGAGGTTTAAAATGGTCTGGGTATGTGTCACACTCTGGTTCTAGGACTTTTTGTGTTTAGTCAGGGTGTGTAGATTTCCGTGTGTTGTGTACTGTGGGTAGTGTCTAGGTGTTCGCGTTCTATGTTTGGTCAGTGACTCCCAATCGGAGGTAACGAGTGTCAGCTGTCGGCTCGTTATCTCTGATTGGGAGCCATATTTAAATGTCTGTGTTCACCTTGTGGTTGTGGGTTTTTGTTCTTTATTCAGTCGGTGTAACTGAGGACGTCACGGATCGTGTTTTGTTTTGTCGTGTGTTTCAAAATTAAAATCATCATGTTCACTCCCAACGCTGCGCTTTGGTCATACTTCATTGGCGATCGTGACAGAAAAACCCACCACAACGAGACCAAGCAGCAGTTGGATAACGAGTGGTGGAGCCAGAAGAGCGAAGGTTGGGAGAGGACTATGGAGGCCTGGTCCACCGAGAGGAGAGACCCCCAGAAAATTTTTAGGGGGGGGCTCACGACGTCGGGGCAGAAGGTGTACGGCCCGGAGGAGTGCAAGAGGTTGGCAGATATGGCCGCCAGTTTAAGGGGGCCACTGGTTACGAAGGGGATGGAAAGTGTGGAGGCACGGCGAGAGGTACTGGGGGGTGTTTCCAGTCCGGTCCGGCCCGTTCCTGATCCCCGTGTAGGGCCAGGGGTGTGTGTCCCCAGTGCGGTTCTGTCTGTCCCTGCTCAACGCACCAAGCCTACGGGGTGCGTCGCCAGCCCAGCTCGGCCTGTTCCTGCGCCCCGCACCAAGTCTGTGGTGCGTTTCGCCAGCCCAGCCCGGCCTGTCCCTGCTCAACGCACCGAGCCTACGGGGTGCGTCGTCAGCCCTGTCCAGCCAGAGCCGTCCGCCAGACAGGATCAGCCAGAGCCTTCCGCCAGACAGGATCAGCCAGAGCCTTCCGCCAGCCATGAGCAGCCAGATCCTTCCGCCAGCCATGAGCAGCCAGATCCGTCAGCCAGCCATGAGCAGCCAGATCCGTCAGCCATCCATGAGCAGCCAGATCCGTCAGCCAGCCATGAGCAGCCAGATCCGTCAGCCAGCCATGAGCCGTCCAGCCAGGATCCGCCAGAGCCGTCCAGCCAGGATCCGCCAGAGCCGTCCAGCCAGGATCCGCCAGAGCCGTCCAGCCGGGATCCGCCAGAGCCGTCCAGCCGGGATCCGCCAGAGCCGTCCAGCCGGGATCCGCCAGAGCCTTCCAGCCGGGATCCGCCAGAGCCTTCCAGCCAGGATCCGCCAGAGCCGTCCAGCCAGGATCCGCCAGAGCCGTCCAGCCAGGATCCGCCAGAGCCGTCCAGCCGGGATCCGCCAGAGCCGTCCAGCCAGGATCCACGCACCAAGCCAGGGGCGCGTGTCGTCAGTCCGGTTCCGGCCAGCGGGGCTAGGCAGGACCAGGGGTACTTTGGGGGGTTGGAGAGGAAGTGGGGAGGAAGCCCGGAGCCGGAGCCGCCGCCGAGGAGGAATGCCCACCCAGCCCTCCCCTGTTTGCTTGTAGTTAGGCGCGGTCGCAGTCCGCGCCTTTGGGGGGGGTACTGTCACACTCTGGTTCTAGGACTTTTGTGTTTAGTCAGGGTGTGTAGATTTCCGTGTGTTGTGTACTGTGGGTAGTGTCTAGGTGTTCGCGTTCTATGTTTGGTCAGTGACTCCCAATCGGAGGTAACGAGTGTCAGCTGTCGGCTCGTTATCTCTGATTGGGAGCCATATTTAAATGTCTGTGTTCACCTTGTGGTTGTGGGTTTTTGTTCTTTATTCAGTCGGTGTAACTGAGGACGTCACGGATCGTGTTTTGTTTTGTCGTGTGTTTCAAAATTAAAATCATCATGTTCACTCCCAACGCTGCGCTTTGGTCATACTTCATTGGCGATCGTGACAGTATGGTTGTACACCCCATAAACAGATTGGTTGCTTCTAGTTATCAATTGATGAAGATGAATTAATAAATTATCGTGGTCTGCAATTTTTCTAGCTCAATGTACAACAATGTAAAGATAAGGCACAACAGCAAGGGAAACGATGAGAAGTTTGCCCACAAGCCATGGGCAGAGGTGTAGGGGAGTGGGCAGACTATATATACATATTTTAACCTCTAAACGCGTGTACTCTCCACCACAAGGCAGAGCACTAACCTCTGTCTCTCATATCAGTGTTTGGTTCAATTTTATGTCCTTCGCTCTGACTGGCACTTCAAAGAGTAAGTATCAGCAACACGCAACAACGTCGGTCTGCTGTGAACTTCATGAAGAGGAAAATTCACAAAGTTGTATTTTCTGTGGTTCTCGTACATGCAACATTTCTATTTTTAAACTCCTTTTCAATATTGTCAGCTTTCATAATATTTCATTGTTGTTGCAAAATTGCTTCAGACAAAGATCTACATAATAAATATAATAGGACAGACAGCGAGACTGCTCGCAAATTATTAATAAAAACGAGAACTTGCAGGACATTTCACGATAAGTTGAGGTAAAAAGCTATAATAGTTATGTTTTTGCACTTTATACAGCACTGGTTCGTGTGCGATATCCTGTGCGAAAACATATTTTGCAATGCATCTATGAAGTGTTAAGAACAGTGTCAACAAGAGGTGTGATATCTGACTGCACATTTTGCCTGGTAAGAAGCAGTAGTGTTGCCTAATGGAGACAATAAGGAGAGATGTCTCATGTGTGCATGTGCGGTTAAAAATACTCAATATACTCATATTAATTAGCCAAAGGCTAAAACCTTGGTCAAAGGCAGTAGGGCTCTCACGACACTAGTATCACGATACTATTATACTTGATTTTACATGGCAAAAAGTACAACTCAAAGAAGACTTAACTCTTTAAAAACCTGCTTTATGTTAAATATTGTGTACTATAGTTTGGAAAATTAACACATTTGACTGTGGATGACAACATAAGGCTGTTTGTTTTCAATATTACAATAATTTCCCCCAATAAATGTAGTCCGCTTCATAATAATAATATTAATAATTATTATTATCATGTTTTGTTTGCTTGCCATGATACTTCTGAGTATCACAATACTGGTATATAGACAACACTAAACGAGAGTGAGGTGCGAACATCCCTCTGAGCCATGGTTATTAACAAATCATTGTTATTTTCATCTCTAAGAGCAAATGTTGACCTTCATAGACATGACAACCTTTGGGGAATTTTGTATTACACAGACGTGTGGCTGCCAGTGTGATTATACCAGTTTAGGATGGACACACTGTATTACCTACAGTTGTGATTGTGATCAGACATTTGATCAAATGTATGATGAGTAAGTGGTCTCACCCAAGTGCACAGTCATTTCTGGTATGTTTACAGCATTTTAACTTTGAGAGAGTAAATCCCCAGATCAGTAGCTTGCTTAATTTTACTGAGCTTTTGTCCCAGGGTGCAGTGAGAGCAAAGTAGCAGAAGCCATATGAAGTTGAATACAAGCCTTTCCCTCAAGGCCTCAGATCTCCAAATCTTATGACTTACACTAACCTCAAATTACATAATTGTTGGTCCAATGTTACATAACTGGGAAATAAATGTAGTGTAAATCTGTAGTGTATTTTTGTCTATTTCACACTTACAAGCTATCTCATTTGCAACACACCACTATAGGACCTTACCTTGTCCCTGCTAACCTTGTCTATAACCCTGTCTATAACCCTGTCTATAACCCTGTCTATAACCCTGTCTATAACCCTGTCTATAACCTTGTCTATAACCCTGTCTATAACCCTGTCTATAACCCTGTCTATAACCCTGTCTATAACCCTGTCTATAACCCTGTCTATAACCCTGTCTATAACCCTGTCTATAACCCGTCTATAACCCTGTCTATAACCCTGTCTATAACCCTGTCTATAACCCTGTCTATAACCTTGTCTATAACCCTGTCTATAACCCTGTCTATAACCTTGTCTTTAACCTTGTCTATAACTACTTATGGACTAGAGCTATATTCACCTGGTCTCCTTCAGATGATTCTAGCAGTTCTGCTGTTCTTCTGTAGCTCTATGTTTCTGGCATCACGGGGCTGATAGTTGGTACAGTATGGTCTCATCTCTCTCTGCTGTAGGAAACATGGTGGACAAACAACGTCAAACAGCCGTCAGCATTGTAACCCAAACTAACCCGTGACCAATCAATCTCAAACTTTTGAGCTGCATACCACTGACATCCAGACTGATCAGAGTTGGCATTGGGACATGGTGATCTCACTAATAAGCATGTAATGGTTATGGAGAGCCTTTTCTTAGGGCTAGGGCCCATGCACCTAACTGACCTCCCTCTAGGAAAACAATATGAGTTTATTAGTCAAGTTGAAGGAAGAGACAGGTCCAAATAGGTTCCTGTGTCAAATCTAGAAGTTGGTTGTGTGATTGACATAAAAGCTGGCACAACAAAGACTAGACACGTTATACTATAACATAACAACTCTCCAACATGAGCATTTTAACGTGCAGGCCATGCATGCTGCCTGGTGTCTGTCTACTAGATTAATCACCAGTTACATTTACTTGAACACGTCTTTCAGACGTGTTACATTATTTCAGTCACATTAGAGGGGATGGCTACACGTCAGACAACTCCTCCTCTCTGCCCTTCCACCATCTCCACCACTGCTTTATTCAGCCTGTCTAGCCTGTTTAGACAGTGGGATATGAGTGGGTTTTGTGGCTCTATAACACCCTGTCATTCAAAGATTTCAACGCTCAAACACAGAAATTAACAAATGTTCTGATCTGTGACCCAGACTGTATAGCAGAAATGTGGAAATGTATAGCCTATTCATAAGATTTTGCAAATAACTAATAATACATCTTCCCTTCACAGGTGAAATCCTAGACAGTTACCTGACACAAGTGCACAAGAACTTACTTATCCTCCTTTTACCTGCCCAACCAAGAAACAGCCGTCCTACTTTCTATACTGAGACCAGATGGAGCCCATGTCAGTATCTCCAAATGGGAGCACGGAGACAATGGAGGATGGTCATACAGCCTCCCTAGAGGGGGCGCTGACACCCAAGGGCCTGCGGCGCAAGAGAGAGTTCATCCCAGACGAGAAGAAGGACGTCACCTACTGGGAGAAGCGTCGCAAGAACAACGAGGCTGCCAAGCGCTCGCGGGAGAAGAGGAGGGTGAATGATTATGCGCTGGAGAGCCGCCTGGCGGCCATGAGCAAAGAGAACGCCCGGTTGAACACAGAACTGCTGGCCCTCAAACTCCACTTTGGCCTGATGAGCCCTGCAGGCTACGCTGCCCACCAGAGCAGCCTGCTACGGCTCCACCATGCCCACACCCACAGCCCTCATTCTCCGCCACCCAGCAGCCCAACCCAGCCCCTGGACAGGAACGTCTACTGGGGCAGGAGGCCCAGCTACAGAGACCCCTCCACCCTGCCCAATTACCACCACCTACCCCCCGTCCTGACTGGACAACCTGCTCCAGCCCTGATCCATCCACATGCTCTACCAACCAGAAGGGGCTATCCATACTTCTTAGAAATTCCTGGTGTTGTCCACCCTGCAAACTCATCCTCCCTTCTCCTGCCCCCGCTTCACCCCTCTCCCCTATCGTCCTGGCCGGGGGTTCCCCTGCTGAGGCCCACCCCTAGGAGAGGGGGTTCAGACGAGGAGGGGGAACAGCAGGTCCCAGCAGCCTCCTCCAGCACTGCATTACTGCACAAGCTGAGGCTGAAGACCATCAGAGCTCCTACTGTCAATAGGGATGTCAGAGACAGGGCCTCCCCCTCACTCCCGCTCTATGTATCTGACTGACTGACTGACTGTCACATGGCACAGCAGGACAGAGCAAACCAACCACAGCACTGAGAACATGAAGGATCCACGCTCTCAGCGCTGTAACATTGACACCAAATTTACAGTACAGCATTACACCCCTGCTGATTTTGTATGTTTGCCCACTGACAAAGAAATGATCAGTCTATAATTTTAATGGTAGGTTTATTTGAACAGTGAGAGACAGAATAACAACAACAAAATTGAGAAAAACTCATGTCAAAAATGTTATAAATTGATTTGCATTTTAATGAGGGAAATAAGTATTTGACCCCCTCTCAATCAGAAAGATTTCAGGCTCCCAGGTGTCTTTTATACAGGTAACGAGCTGAGATTAGGAGCACACTCTTAAAGGGAGTGCTCCTAATCTCAGCTTGTTACCTGTATAAAAGACACCTGTCCACAGAAGCAATCAATCAATCACATTCCAAACTCTCCACCATGGCCAAGACCAAAGAGCTCTCAGGGACAAGATTGTAGACCTACACAAGGCTGGAATGGGCTACAAGACCGTCGCCAAGCAGCTTGGTGAGAAGGTGACAACAGTTTGTGCGATTATTCGCAAATGGAAGAAACACAAAAGAACTGTCAATCTCCCTCGGCCTGGGGCTCCATGCAAGATCTCACCTCGTGGAGTTGCAATGATCATGAGAACGGTGAGGAATCAGCACAGAACTACACAGGAGGATCTTGTCAATGATCTCAAGGCAGCTGGGACCATAGTCACCAAAAAAACAATTGGTAACACACTACGCCGTAAAGTACTGAAATCCTGCAGCGCCCGCAAGGTCCCCCTGCTCAAGAAAGCACATATACAGGGCCGTCTGAAGTTTGCCAATGAACATCTGAATGATTCAGAGGAGAACTGGGTGAAAGTGTTGTGGTCAGATGAGACCAAAATCGAGCTCTTTGGCATCAACTCAACTCGCTGTGTTTGGAGGAGGAGGAATGCTGCCTATGACCCCAAGAACACCATCCCCACTGTCAAACATGGAGGCGGAAACATTATGCTTTGGGGGTGTTTTTCTGCTAAGGGGACAGGACAACTTCACCGCATCAAAGGGACGATGGACGGCGCCATGTACCGTCAAATCTTGGGTGAGAACCTCCTTCCCTCAGCCAGGGCATTGAAAATGGGTCGTGGATGGGTATTCCAGCATGACAATGACCCAAAACACACGGCCAAGGCAACAAAGGAGTGGCTCAAGAAGAAGCACATTAAGGTGCTGGAGTGGCCTAGCCAGTCTCCAGACCTTAATCCCATAGAAAATCTGTGGAGGGAGCTGAAGGATCGAGTTGCCAAACGTCAGCCTCGAAACCTTAATGACTTGGAGAAGATCTGCAAAGAGGAGTGGGAACAAAATCCCTCCTGAGATGTGTGCAAACCTGGTGGCCAACTACAAGAAACGTCTGACCTCTGTGATTGCCAACAAGGGTTTTGCCAACAAGTACTAAGTCATGTTTTGCAGAGGTGTCAAATACTTATTTCCCTCATTAAAATGCAAATCAATTCATAAAAATTTTGACATGCGTTTTTCTGGATTTTGTTGTTGTTATTCTGTCTCTCACTGTTCAAATAAACCTACCATTGAAATTATAGACTGATCATGTCTTTGTCAGTGGGCAAACGTACAAAATCAGCAGGGGATCAAATACTTTTTCCCCCTCACTGTATGTCCAACTTAAAACAGACATTTTACATTTGTTTGATTTTCTCAAAGTTGTTGCTTCTCAGGTTTTGCCATGCTTCCTTACTGTCCAAGTTAACTAGATGAAATACATTGTAGCATACTTTACTTTATAAATTATAGAATTGATAATTTATAAAAAATATAATCAAGTGTCTAGGCTACTGTGTGGGTAATGTTTAGGTTTTGTTGGCTGGCTGGTAGAGCAAGATAGCACTGTGGTTCAGTGCCTCTCTGGAGTGAGGAGCAGGGCCGTAGATACATATGAGAACACCGAGCTTCAGACCTATGTAATGTTTTCAAAAATATATAAATAATAATACATTTAAAAAATCTGTCGGGTCTCAACTTACTGTTGAGAGTTAGAATAGTAGAATACACAAGGTGCAATTTCAAAATTTTGTTGCAGCAGTTTTCCTCTTGTTATATGTCACTCACTGACAGTCACTCAATTAGCCCATGTCAGTTAAATATTTTTAGATTGGTCAATTAGTCTAGTTAGTCTAGCCAGCTATCAAGTCCCCATTGATTTTGTTAGTCACTCTCACTCAGATATCATATTAACCTGGCATAAGTCATGGCATAATGTGTAGAATTGCAGGAAATTAGCTTTAAAACTGCAAAAATGTCTCCCCACCTCATGGTAAAATGCAGGAAATTTGCTGTAAAACTGAAGAAAGAAATGGTTCTGTAAAGCAAACTTAATTGTTTACCTTTTGTTAATAAAATACTTTTTCTGCTAACAGATCCCTCAGTATGTATTAAATTATAGTTTTTTAATCCCGGTGCTGAGTTCATGTGTATCGGCTAATTGTCTGGCTAATAGCTATGTGTTTTTAGATAGACTGAGGTGAGTGAAGCTACAGCAACCAATGTGATAATGGCTGGGGTCATTTATGCTTGTTTTTGCTGTTTTCTAAGGGACGGATCGAAATGTACAGGGGGGAGGGGTGGTCCAAAATAGGGGAAGGTTGTCAAAGTTTGTTTACTCCTTTGGGAGGGTTGTGTGGTTTTTTGGGGGGCACAGGGGAGTGTAGTGCGTTTTTTCCCTGGTTTATATTCGCTCTTCTGATCGTATTTTCCCAATAAACAATGGCCTGACTTACTTTTGATATTACCCTAATAAAGTTTAGAAAGGCTTGTGAAGGTTTGGTATGGTGTGGCTATTATTAAGCTTTAGCTACTGCAGGCCTATGATATGAAGGCAATGCTCCCCGGCATGCCAACTGACTCCGACAGTTGAACTTGAGGCGAGGAATACTGTTTCAGGCCTACCAGAGTTACTCCTATAATCTAACAATATAATGGTTACATTTATACAAAATATTTGGATTGAAAATTAACGAATAACCCTCCTTCTGTACGTCTACATGTATATCTGTATAGCAGATACAGTAGCCATCTGATATAAAGAAATGCATGTCGGTGTCGTAGCATGCCACCGGCATATATCTATCTCTCTGGGGTTAGGCCTAAGCTTCTCTTCCTTTATATAGGCTATATATACAGTGGGGGGGAAAAGTATTTAGTCAGCCACCAATTGTGCAAGTTCTCCCACTTAAAAAGATGAGAGAGGCCTGTAATTTTCATCATAGGTACACGTCAACTATGACAGACAAATTGATTTTAAAAAATCCAGAAAATCACATTGTAGGATTTTTAATGAATTTATTTGCAAATTATGGTGGAAAATAAGTATTTGGTCACCTACAAACAAGCAAGATTCCTGGCTCTCACAGACCTGTAACTTCTTCTTTAAGAGGCTCCTCTGTCCTCCACTCGTTACCTGTATTAATGGCACCTGTTTGAACTTGTTATCAGTATAAAAGACACCTGTCCACAACCTCAAACAGTCACACTCCAAACTCCACTATGGCCAAGACCGAAGAGCTGTCAAAGGACACCAGAAACAAAATTGTAGACCTGCACCAGGCTGGGAAGACTGAATCTGCAATAGGTAAGCAGCTTGGTTTGAAGAAATCAACTGTGGGAGCAATTATTAGGAAATGGAAGACATACAAGACCACTGATAATCTCCCTCGATCTGGGGCTCCACGCAAGATCTCACCCCGTGGGGCCAAAATGATCACAAGAACGGTGAGCAAAAATCCCAGAACCACACGGGGGGACCTAGTGAATGACCTGCAGAGAGCTGGTGCAAGCGTAGGTATAGGCACTCCTCAGGAAAAATAGAACGAACAATCATTTGTGCCAGGTGATATCCCTCTTAATACTCGGGCAAATGTTCCATTGGCCCGTAAAGGCCAGCAGGCTGTCTTTGTTTTAAATTTTAAATGTTATTCTATTCTACTTTTTCTGTAAGGAATGTATTGAAAGTTTATTGTCAATTTGTTTGTATTTAAACGCACTTAATGTGTAATGACATGCAACAAAATTTGCCCTGGGGACAATAAAGAAGTAAGTAAGTAGAAGAAGACCTGCAGAGAGCCTGGGACCAAAAGAACAAAGCCTACCATCAGTAACACACTACGCCGCCAGGACTCAAATCCTGCAGTGCCAGACGTGTCCCCCTGCTTAAGCCAGTACATGTCAGGCCCGTCTGAAGTTTTGCTAGAGTGCATTTGGATGATCCAGAAGAGGATTGGGAGAATGTCATATGGTCAGATGAAACCAAAATAAACTTTTTGGTAAAAACTCAACTCGTCGTGTTTGGAGGACAAAGAATGCTGAGTTGCATCCAAAGAACACCATACCTACTGTGAAGCATGGGGGTGGAAACATCATGCTTTGGGGCTGTTTTTCTGCAAAGGGACCAGGACGACTGATCCGTGTAAAGGAAAGAATGAATGGGGCCATGTATCGTGAGATTTTGAGTGAAAACCTCCTTCCATCAGTAAGGGCAATGAAGATGAAACGTGGCTGGGTCTTTCAGCATGACAATGATCCCAAACACACCGCCCGGGCAACGAAGGAGTGGCTTCGTAAGAAGCATTTCATGGTCCTGGAGTGGCCTAGCCAGTCTCCAGATCTCAACCCCATAGAAAATCTTTGGAGGGAGTTGAAAGTCCGTGTTGCCCAGCGACAGCCCCAAAACATCACTGCTCTAGAGGAGATCTGCATGGAGGAATGGGCCAAAATACCAGCAACAGTGTGTGAAAACCTTGTGAAGACTTACAGAAAACGTTTGACCTGTGTCATTGCCAACAAAGGGTATATAACAAAGTATTGAGAAACATTTGTTATTGACCAAATACTTATTTTCCACCATAATTTGCAAATAAATTCATTAAAAATCCTACAATGTGATTTTCTGGAATTTTTTCCTCATTT